GGGGGGGGGGGGGGGGGGGGGGGGGGGGGGGGGGGGGGCGGTTGGACGCGTCAGAAGCGGCTGGCACCCACAATGGTTAACGTAGATCAGTCAAGTTCCACTCGTACAGGACTGCACCGTGGATAGCCGTAGCATACCGCATGAGACACGTGAGGACACTCCGGTGCCGGTGTCAAGACATGGGCCATGACGAAACACTGCTGTCCGGAAGGCTCTTGAAACGGTACAGTGTAAAACATTTTGCTGTCCCAGTGAACAAACACACAATGTAGGAGCCAGGCATTGAGGGGGGTGGTGACCAGGTGTGTAATGAAAAGATGATGAAGTGTCACCCGGTGTACGGCAACGAGGTGTGGAATGCCACTTGCACGTGGCAGGTTGCGTCAAGTTCATCATAACGCAAATTCAATCTTGCTCCGTGCGCAATTATGAACAACTTGGCAGTAAGTCATGAAATTTAATTTTATCCCAAGAGTACCATTCGCATGTGAGCCACAACTGGGACCATGCGCATCCTTCATGACAGGGGGTAGCAAGTGTGCATCTGCAATGCTCGAGCCGAGGGCGAACGGCACCCATATGCAAGGACTGCTGTTGAACTGATCCTCGTGTTACATACGAGTACAGTACAGCGACAATACCCCGTGGGTAACAGGCTCAAACCGTGAAATATGCATGGTGATCATCCCGTGTTTCGGACTGCTGTCTATCGTGGGATGGGTAGACGTAAAGTTCAAGGTTGGCACGAAGATTTGCTCGGGATCTGTTCTGTGTGAGGACACATCCGACAACTTCATCATTTTTGTCCTCTTCACCTGCTCGGTTGTTGTTTTTTTGGGAAGGGGGGAATCATGACGCCAGGCGGTGTTTACGAGAAATGCCATTGGTTGTAGTGCCCTTTTCATATCGTCCGAGTTATGGCTTCTTCTGTGCAACCCCCCCGGTGCCTATTGCATTGATTTTGGTGGTGAAAATAGTCCATGTCCTCTTCGAAGGGATCGTCGTGCCGCGTGTGCCCACTGAGAGCGAGTTGTCTACAAAGAAGATCCGTTCCCGCAGCCCTTGCCAAACTAGTATAAAAAGCAGAGGCTTGCACATACCACAACAACACAGGATAAGCTAACTGTCTGCGTGATCAATCCTATGCCCCAGCAGCCAGCGACAGCAAATCGTCTTCGGCGCCAACTCACCCTCGACCTCCCGTCTGCACCGCATGGGACTTCAGCCTTGCATGGGCCGCATGTGCTCATCAGATCCTTGAGCTCCTTCCACGTCACGGTCCACGCCAAATTGCCGACGTAAACTCTGTTGTTAGACCCCCCTCCTGCAGAAACCTTTGGAGCAGGTTGACGGTATGGTTGGGTCTGCTGTTGTCGAGAGGCTCGGCCGGTGTTCCTCACTTTCCCGCCTCGGCCTCCTCGATCAACTTTTTTCGTCGGCTTTGCTGCGAGCATCTCATCCAACGACATCCCGAGAAGGGCGTCTGTATCCATTGTATCCATCGCGTTGAGGCGAGAGCCAGAGCCGAGGTAAGTAAACAGAGAGGCCGACGAATTGGAGTCCTGTCCTGTTCGAGCGTGTTCGCGGACACCAGTGTTCAGCGTGCCGCTTTGTGCGGGTGTGCGGGAGGCAGGAGGTGAGACAAGTCGGGTGAGCAGGCGGAGACACAAATAAAACGGGGGGGGGGCTTCCTCACC